TGAGGACAAAATTGATTAGTAATAGTATGAAATATGATACTAAAGAGTAAATTTTTAGGGTATCTTTTAGAGAAAAAATAAAGGCAGAGTTTGCACAAACTTTTACAGATTCTGTAGGAATGTTGAACACTGTTTACATAACCAAATGCAAAACAAACAGGGCCTTGTCATTTTATGCTATATAGCTTGTGTCCAGCCTGCAAACCACATGAACAGTTAGTAATGTGGCCCCACAAGATCATAAGGTTTCAGCATTTTTATGTCATTTTTAGTGATATTTTCCATGAGTTGACTGCACATAGTTCGAACATGAACTGCACAGGCAACAGCAGAAAGATGTGGAGGAGAGGGTACAGAGCAGTGCTAACTCCATATATCATGCCCACCACACACATTTGGTCAAAGCTAGACTTGTGTGTGTTGTATGTGACATGATATTTTTAGGAAATACACAGGTAGGCATGCAATAACTGAATAATCTAGAAACTACAATTATGACCCAATTTCTTGATGTTTTATATTTCATTAAGTCATATGTTACACTGGCAACAGCTAAAAGAGTGTCTTGTATTTTCAGTATGACAAGGATCAAGTCAAGAGCTGCAGTCACATATAAAACTGTTGGTCCTTATTTTTCTATTTCTGGAAATAGTTGTATTTCTGCCTGATTTAGAAATTCATTTGCAAAAAGTCTACAGGTTGATTTTTTACATGAATTGGAGGAAGTCCACTGACAGTTTCTCACTGCAAGGGCTACTAGAAGTTTAGGGCAGTTTCTCCATCCAGTGCGTAGTTACACGTTACTACACTAAGAAAAGAAGATAAGCTGCCAGCTTGTTATTGAATGCCCTTGTGGATCCAGCCTCAGATAGAGGGTTTAGAAAGTGAATCAACAGATTTTATGTTCTTAGATTCCACTTCAAATAAGTGAACAATAAATAAAAAAATTATTAAATTTAAAAACGCAGACCAGACAAAACAAGAAGGAAAAGATTGTTTTAAGTAGATCTTGTATAGGTTATGCTGAACAGACTCGGCCATTGTGAGGCTGCATCATTCCACAGGTCTGAAAGCAATTAGGAAGGCTGAATACAAGTAAGTTGCAAAAGTCTGGAACAAAAAATGGACCACATTCTCAATGGTTGCAAATCGAAGTATCTCCCCTAAGTTTATTGCAGCTATTTAGATCATATTGCAAGAACATGACAGCAGCAAAATGTGACTTTTCTAGTAAATGTTCTTCAGTGTCCTTTCAAGAACATTCATTTAATAAAAGAGATTTAAAGAAAGAATTGTCTTCACCCACAGTTGAAGACTGTTGGAGAACTTGACTGTATATTGTCTACTCATATGCAATATTTAATGGTATTACATTTAACATCTACCATATGTAAGCTTGTACCTTGCCATATCAGTGTCTAAGTTCTACAGAAATAAAATATGCCACCCACATCCATTCAATCATTTTAATTTTCTTTGTGAGCACAGTAACTTTCTACAGTACTTGAAAACAGATCTTTATGATTTACTTTTACTTGAAATTTAAAGCCTATGAAACAAGAACTGTGGCTTGATTTGGAAATCGTAAGTGTTTGAAAGACATCCCCAAAATAAAAGGCAGAATTCTTACAACAGGAAACAACAATACCAACATTCTGAGTTTCTTTCCAAGTTATGACATGTACAATGATGGATTAATAAAAGGTAGAAGCAAGGCCAAAATCTGGATAAGATATTTCAGTGAGACTGTAACCACTTATTCTTTGATTAGTTCTTGAAACTGTGGCTTACCTTCAGTTTGCATAATCATGTAACTGTATCAAGCTATTAGCTTTGCAGTGCCTTGGTGAACTTTTACTGTTGCTAATCTAGAAGCTGTAGATCCTGACAACTTTTATTTCCAAGGACACAGCAGTATTTGTACACTTAGGTACACTTAAATTTTTTGTCATGAATTTTTCTTAATGCTCCAACACAAGGAAAAGAGCATATTCATGAACTAATACCGATACATTCAGTATGAGATGTAGAAGTATGAAATACTTTATGAAATCTGGTGGTTCTACTGTGAAGGAAAAACAAATTTTGAAATTTTGAAAATGTTTAATAATAAATGTTTATAAATAATGCATCTTTAATAAATGTTTAATAATGCATCTGTCTTATACATTTGGCAGTATCTGGTTGAATTTAGGCAAAGTTTTTTTTTCTTATATTTATTAAGCAAAATATTCATACTACAATTATTCTTCCTCTTCTGTAAATATAGAAGCAAATTTTTGAAAACAGAACTTTCTGATGGAATGTCAAGTGATATTTGGCTTAAGAAAAGTAATTAGAAAATAAACATTTTGATTAATAGTTTGCCCTGAAGTATCTGTTTATTGTTTTGGAATATTGCATTACAGTTTTTAATCCCTATTTTGCTATTATCTGAAACAACATTCTGAGTAAATTTTAACCAACAGTTAAAAACCAACAGTTTTTTGTTTTCATTTTGATTCCCATGACGACAAATTTCAAAATTGTGCAATTTGTGCAACTGCATAATTACAAACAAAATGTGTCTCTTCATAGCCTGTAATTCCAACTGGAATTGAATTCCAATCTGGAAATCCTTCATGAAAATAATATGAATCACAATTTGGAGTGGAGTAAAAGATTTGTATTTGGATCTCTGGCTAATATAGCTAAAAATCATTCTGCAGTTATTTACCTCTAGCTATACTTATGACTGAGAACCACCACATATGCCCTTTCCTTGCATAGGCTTCAAAGACCTCTCTCTTTGAAATTGCAGAGGTTAGACTAGTAAGCCATTCCTCTTAGGGCTGTCTACCTCCACTACCCATACACATAAAAGCTACTAGGAAAAAAATCAAACCCACTTCCATTTGGGCATGCATAAGTTTGCAACTAACTTTCAAATTTAATAGTGTAATTTTAAGTCTGAAAAATGCATATATAAAATTACATGGACGACAATGAAGACCACATTCGACAAATTTAGTAGAGTTTAGCACAAAGTTCCACATGCTGAGGAACTGAATCTTAACAAATTAACTCCAGATATGACCATATTAGAGAGAGCTGGAGACAGCCTTACAGAGCTGGCTTTTTAACTGAAGAAATGCCCTCAAGATTCATTCCAGCTAATGAAGGTATTATATAAACAGTTAAAAGGCAGTTGCTGGAGGCTGGTAATAAGCTCAAATATCAGCAGTTAGTAATTATGAAGGTTTCCTATCTTATTTCAGAATAAATATCCTGTTCTAGTTGTGATAGATCTGCTGAACGGAGACCTTCCTGTCACTATGTTCAGGTACTATTTTGTGGAGAGTATGTGTGATGTCTTTCCCTATATCTCCAGCTCTGTTTTAAGGTTAGACAAAGACTAAACCTGCCAATCAATAATCTGAACAGAAACAGTAAATCAAATTAATCAGATTGATAATTATTAAAGTGATTTTGCAACAGCAGAAGGAGTTGCCAGAAGGTAGATGCAAAACTGACCCACCCTGAAAGACAAAGTTACCAAAACCACTTCTTTCATTAAAGAAGAGGCAAAAAATTGTTGACCTCACCCAGCAGTTTGGAAATTATGCATGGTCACTACCATTATGATTCACACTGAATTAAATTAAATAAAGTTTTGTTAAATTATTTCACCTAAATAGGAGACCAGTGACCAAATAGGTATTTTTTGTGTTTTTATTATTAGCTTTTGTTATTACATGAACAGCTAGCATTTTTTATTAATTGAGACCCTAATTAAAGCCATACTAGTCATTTCCATTAGCTTACTCAAACTTCTCCAGAGCTGTCCGTCTGGTTTTAATCAAAACCAAATGGTAATCCAAGTTCTCAGTCTGGAACGGCTAAGAGGAAGTCATTCAGAGGAGGCAGAAGAAAGCAGAAAAGATAAACAGATGATATTCACTAAATTTGTGCAGAGCAGAGGATGTAGATGCTGTGGGTTACTCTGAAGACGTGATTCAGGCACTCTGTCAAATTGGAACGAAGTAGTTACAAGTGTTTTATGTCAGCAAAATACTAATATGATCAAGATGGAGTCTGTCCTTTTGCTTTCGCAGAGCTGGATTTGTGTGACTCTGGAGGATTCTTAGAAGAGGTAAAGCAACATATACCATTGCCTGCTATATGACTGCATTTAAACCACAGCATTCATTTTCTCAGATCCAGATAATTCTCTCGAGTAGGAATGCAATTTTATTGGCATATGCATGTGCATGGTATCTTTCGAACTGTGTGTACGTGCTGATCAGAATAGTACAAGAGCCTATGTAAGCTAAATTTAAATTCTGTTGTTCTCTTCCTTTTTCCTATTATCTGGTACAAAGATGAGACATTTTGGAGACATTGCCCCTTTGTTCGGGTTGACTGTCATCTTTGCATGAACCCTGGAGATGTGCAAAATGTAGGTATATTTTAAAAGGAAAGAAAACATCGGGGAGGGGTTTAAAACATGTTTGCATTATGTAACTGTAGCAGAGACCTTCCAGTTTGACAGAAATACCTCAGCAGTGTGTTAAGCTGAATGTCTTGAAAATTTTCAGTCTGGGCGTCTTTTTCCCTTTCCCCTCTCTGTGCGCTCGCTCCCTTTCTCTCTGCCTCGCGCACGCACACACACGCTCTCCCTCTCTGTCTCTCTCTCCCTCTCTCAAAGGCAGGAAATACTTTTCAGGCAATCTGGGCCTGGTTGTTGAGGCCCCTTTCACAAAACATCAGTCTGAATTTAGTAGACAGAAGTCACTGGGAAAGGCTTGACAGGCTCGTGCTTAGCTAAGGCTCCCTCCAGCTGCAGAGGGTGTTTTTGTTAGAATCACACATTGAGGAAAACTGCTTAGAATAGAGTAACGATCTCAGAAGTGAAATCTGAACTTTTATGCTAGCAGGAGCTAACTGGGACTGGGTTCTTTTGTTTGTTGGGTTTTTTTATCCCTTTTTTTTTTAAGGACTTTTTTTTCCTATCTTTTTTTTTTCTTTCTTTTCTTTTCTTTTTTTTTTTTTTAACCAAAGATTTTAAGAAGGTCATGTCCAAGTTTGACTGACATTCTCTTCATTTACGTAAAGCTGTCTCAGAATCTTCCGATACTTTAAAATAAGACAAAATATTTTTTCTTTTCTTTTTCTTTTTTCTTTTCTTTTTTTTTTTAAGTGAAAGTAAAGAAAAAACAGGAAAGCAACAAGCAGCATCCAGCACTACTGGGACTTTCAGCGTTCAGGATTCCAGCACTAAAACTGGAGGTAAATAAATAAGTATCATTGAAAATGTAAATTTAGTTGTATGCTGCTAATCCTGTTAATCAAAATGTGCCAGAACTATAACAAAATCTTCTTGTTCATTTTGCTTAATCTTTTAAAAATATGCTTGATATGCTGAACTTTGTTTATTAGCATTCATATATAAATAGAACTGCATGGTCTTGCCTGCATGTTTTTAATAGGCATGAAATAAGAAAGCTAGAAGTGTGAATGATATCCTTTTTCACCTCATTTGCCAACAGGGAGGGCATTTAGGGCTATGTTTTTTTCTCTTTCCCCACCTTCTCCTCCCTTCTCTTCCTTTCCCCTCCAGCAGTAATGATGATGAGAAGAGATTTAGGTAGATATATCAATTATACTTCTGATGGTTTTGTTGTCTAGCTTTTACTTAGTCATAAATGAAGTTTGCAGTATAACTGACAATACAGTCCTAAATGTGTACACTCTAAATATGCAATTTCAAGGTATCCTTCTCCTTGTTAGCTAAAGCAGGTTATTTTTAGTAACCTTTAATTAGATATGCAGTTTGGGATGTGCTGTGCTAACTTTTAGAAGGAAAGCAGGATTCAGTGAATGTCAGCTGACTAGATAACTTTGGTGAAGATGTATGAATTCTTTTTTTCAACCTAGTTAAGGTTTAACTATTAAAAGTAAAAACAATCCACTGCTTAAGTGTTTAGGGGGGAACTCAGGATATCATTTTTGACTGTGAGAACAGAGCTGCAGCTATTAAAGTGGTGATTTAAGCATTTTTCACATCTGTATATATGGTTTTTTATGTAGTATCCTTTGTCATTCTGAATATCTAAAAGGATAGCTGTTATTTTAAGTAATGTAAGAGATTCTTGCATCATCAAGACTTCATATATTTAGTGGCTTGTTCGGTAACAGGAGTCATCTCTTCACATACATTTAAGAGAATTTTATGAAGCTTTTTATTTGTATTTTTACTAAATACTGTTTTGAAATAATTGGTGACTAATGAAATGATTTTGTGACTTGAAGGGAAGGGAAGGAGCATTAAGAACCCTGGAATGGTGTCCAGTATCTTCTCTGTTATAATAGACTGAGAACTGTGCTTTACTGCCATACCCATTTTGTAGAAGAATGTCCTCCATGCTGTTTGTAACTCTGGGCCATAAAGAGCGTGGGTCTGAAGGGGGAAGGAAACATCTGGTAGGCAGCAAGTTACTCCAGTATATGCCCTAGGGTGAACGTCAGAGTAGTAGTCACAACTTCCATAGTTCTTAGTCCTGAGCTGGGAGAGCTGTGGTAGGTCCATGGTGAGATAAAGTTCAGAAAAGAATCTAACCAGCTGAGTCTATGTGTCACTCCTATGAAATTCATGCTGGAACTTTGATTTGCCAAGGGACTTAATATTAGTGCCTTTCAGTTCACTCTGTTACCATACTTGCCCCTGCAATTGTGCATGTGGATACTCAGTCAGGACTGTGCTTAAACAGAGGAGAAAATACAAAATGATTAAAACAACTATTCCACATCAAGGGGCATCTTCTGTAGCATCTTCTTCTGTCTTTTAAAGGATATAATGAATGACCTCACTTGACCTCACTTGCAAATAAAAGTACTTGAAACAGTTGAGCTACAGGATAGACAATGGGATAAACTCCAGAAAATACTTTCTCATTTAACTCTGAAGTTTCTCACAGGCCATAAGAAAATATAACACACACAAGTGCCCTACACTCTCATTTAGAATGTTTATTGAATAGTTCTGGAGACAAATCCCTGTTGCTATTCAGGTACTGGTCCTGCTTAATCTAAGTTTTGTGTTATACTATACTGTTTTCTTAGATATTGTTATTAAACAAACAAACAAATGCCTGCAAAAGGAGTAGTGAAAAGATAGGATACAATCTAACACTGAGCATCTATAGCATCTTTGACCTGTTCTGTTCACTCCAAAATGCTAATATCTTTTAACTTGAAACACACATAAAGCCAATACACAAGATGATTAATTTGAACAATAAAGCAAATTAATTAATATCTGCAGCCTTGAGCAAAACTAATGCAAGAGATCAAGTTCTTACAAGAGAAAAGATTCAAAGAGCTCTCCTTTGGCTTGAATTTATATCCTTGCAAACTCTTTTGTATCTTGTATCTGTTGACGTCAATGTTAAATTATGTAATCAGAACACCTAAACAAACTAAATTGGAATATTTGGGCCTAATTCATGAAGATCTTTGTGACACAAAGCAAAATTTAATTCCTTGGAAAAGAAAGCGAAAAACAAAAATAACTGTTTGGGTACGTAATTTTTGAGTAGGCAAGTCTTATGGTAATTCTTATGAACCGCTGAAGTTATAATATACTTTTACATTTTGCTTTAATGTGGTGGAAAAATAGAAGGCTGTCCATTTTGTCTTTTTTTATAAATCTCAAAATTTTATTCTTTTTTATTTTCTTAATTGTCTAAAATTGTATGCTGAATTTTCTAATATATTTTTCTGTTGTTCTTAAAATGAATTTTGTTACTGAAAATTACCAACTTTGGTGCAAAGCTTCCCCGAGGAGGACTGTAGCAGAAGCAGGAAGAGAACTTATGAACAATTTTATCAATTTTATTTTTTTTTATAAAAGGGATATATATACTTCTGGACATTCTTTTTTCTTGTAGCCATCTGGTTCCATTTTCTGTTGTTTGGATTAAAAAAAAATCTTAAAAGATTTTTTTTTTTTTAATCTTGGTGTTCTATTCCTTTTACAAAAGGAAAAGGGAGGAAAAAAAGAATTTTAAAAAAGTGCAATTGAAATAGCATAGCCAGAAGAACTAAACTCTGATCTCCTTCCTAAAATCAGGAGATTGGATGTAGATTCTGGAGGTCTCTGATTCTACTCCTCACTCAAGTCAGGGTCAGCTAGAACAGGCTGCTCTGAGCTTTGTCTACTTGAGTTTTGAATATCTTCAGACATGTTTATCAGTTTCACTACTTAGTAAGGATTTTAAACTTAGCTATCTACACAGGTATACACTGTGTTTTTTTGTTTTGTTTTTTTTTTGTTGTTGTTGTTGTTGTTTTTTTTTAATGCACAGGTATGTGTGTACAGGTAAAAATGTACACCTGTATATATACCTGTATGTATAAAAGTATTCCCCAAACCAAATGCATAAAGCATTTTTGCATGCAAATCCTATATAAATAAGACTGTGACCATGATGTTTTAAAATAATTAACTCTATTGAATTTAAATACTTCATTGGGCTTCTGGCTGCATTTCAAGATGTTTTTCTTTTTCTTCATTCCCCACTGGTATTTGTTGATGTTTCTAGATTTTAAATGTAGTCTTTTGGTAAAGAATTTCAAATCCATTGTTACTGTAATTACTTGTTTCTGTTGAATGAGGAAAATCTCTTACGTTAGAATTATTACAAATGCCTGGACTTTTATCTCAGACGTATTGTACATTATCCACTGAACACAGAGGTTTGCCCTGTGCTCTATATATCTGATGAAGACTTATTTAACTCACATATAGTCTTCTAGTCTTCACTTTCCTCTGGGCTCTCCTTTTTTCATTCTGATTAGTGATACTTTCTGTTTGGTATTTTTTTATATCTTGTCTCAAATTCCAGTAGGCTTAGATTAAAATGCCTTTGAAAAGGCATTTTCAGGAAAATTCTGTTACCTCTGAATCCTAAGTTCTTCTCCTTTCCTCTAGCTTTCTATCAGTTCTAGGCTTTCCAGGGTAGTTACTATGCCATATTACTAAGAATTCTGTAGTCTGATTCACTTTACCTCATCTGTGAGAAATGTTCCTTAATGCATAAATCTTCCAAGTTGAATGTAACTATACTTATGGAAAGTTTCCACTGTGATCCAAAGTTTTATTTTGTGTAAAGGAGATTCAAAATTACAGTGTAATTATACTAGGAGATGAGAGAGATCCTAGAGTAGAAGAGAAGATTATTTAAAAATATTATTCTGCTTAGAGAACTAAATAAAAATGGAAGAGGCTAGATAAACCAGCAATATACTCACCTATTCTAACTACTTTCATATTTTTAGTAAAGCTGCATAACTGCAGCATAATAAACATCTAACAACCTCAAGTTTGTATTACAACCTTTAATAGGAACATTTAAAGCTACTTTCTTGCATTTTCTCTTGCAAGACAAAAATGTGTAACAGGCATGTGAGGAATTACTTTGGATTCATTGGTTCAGTCCACAGCAGTGAACTCTCCATTTCTGATCAGCCCTGAGAGGCCCGAGAGGTTCAACACACTGAAAGTTGTAGTGTTGGATTAAACACCTGTCTGTAGGAGATGTCAGTGCTTTCATGGCAACTTCCAAACCCAGAATCAGCGTCAACTCCATTGGAAATATAAGTAAAGATTTTTAAAAGCTTTTTCATATCATACAAACTGGTAGGTGGTAAAGAAATTTGATCCAAGTAGTTTTCAGACTGAGGAAGGGTAATGTGTTTTATTTTTTGTGTACAGAAACAGTAGTTTGCAGAATTGAATGAGTATTCCCAAGCAGGCTACAGATACTGAATAGAAGAAAAGCACCACAAAACTGAGAGATCAGCTGATGAGTCTGGAATTCAGGCCATTCTGTAAAATGAATTTCAGTGTCTTATGTGTGAAGTATACACATAATAGTATCAAAATTACTTTTTAGTCCTGTGCTCACCAGCAATGAAAACATGCTTGTGGTTTACTCAGTGAGGGCAATGGTTACCAACAGTCATTGCCCATAGTGCCTTGGGCTTCACAGTTCATGTCTATAACAAGCTCCAACAACTCATCTTTAAATGGAAACACTCTATTAGAACCTTAAATATAAAAGGCAGCAGGAAAACAATCTGGTTAGTTTATATTGTTTTCCAAAGAACTTCCTGTAGCTAGAATATTAGTATTTTACTAGAGTTGGCTAGAAAATGGCATTTCTTCCACCATGAGAAATTTAGAAGAAAAAAAAAAAAAAAAAAGAGAGAGAGAGAGAGAGATTTGG